AGTTTAGATTGTTTTTTATTTTCTCTGCAATTAACACTTTTGGTCGTCTTTTTGCTGGAGCAAGTAGAGTTATAAAATTTATTATTTGTGATGTTAATGTCAACGGATTAAGAACCGACGATAGACAAGTGACAATGAACAATGTTGATTGAGGATCCTTCAAGAATGTGTTACTTTCACGTACAAGAAGATAATTTTCCATTATATTTCGAATGTCAACTACAATCATTGAGATATTGTGTAAATTTATAAATTCGTTGTTTCTACTGCCATTGACAATTAGTAATGTTTGCCATATTCGATCATCACGTTGGACGTAATTTATTACGACATTGTGGAAAGAATTCCAATTTTTTGAAAAAGATTGTCCTTGAAAGCAGATCAAAATCAGGAGAATTAACTGCTGACTGCAGAACAGTAACTTCATTTTTATCTAAAACGAAAATAATTTAATTGTTGCAATGGCTATATTTTCAAATTCAATTTCCCAATAAAAAATTTACTAATGGCGCAGTACTGGCGCAGTACTGACAAGTGTTGGCGCAGTACTGGCGCCCAGTATTGGCGCCAGAGTTGGCGAAACTTTGGGATGATAACATTTTACCAGTATTGGCTGCCAGAGTTGGCACCAGTACTGGTAACCACTACTGGTTCAGTACTGGCTGAGTACTGGTAGTTTTGTAATTTATTGTATACGAAAAGAAAGCTTTAACTGTAACAGAGATAAGTTTCACTGCAATAGTGAAATCTCTGTTCCAGGTAATACTTTTTTTTAGGAAAAAGTGTGTGAAATTTTTAGTAACCCAACACAAATTAAATATTAATTAAATTAGTCAACTAACTAATTAATATTTTATTATATATAAAATCGAAAACACCAAGAGTTTTTATTTTTTAGTAAGTATAATATATATTGCAAATTATTATTTAAAAAAATCAAAAAATAAATATAAAAATATCTTTATTATAAAACCAAAATTTTTATAATATATAAAAACAGTTCAGTAAAAATAAAAATGTTTATAAAATAATTATAATGTATATAAATATACAATTAGCTATTTAATTATTTTATTATTCACTTTAATTATTTGCATCAAAATAAATTTTTGAAAAACTTTTTTAAGAAAATAAAAGTTGTTTTTTAATTTTTAACAAGTGTTGTCAAGAAAATTTTTTTAAATTTTTATTTTAAAAATTATTAATTTTTTTATAAAAAATTTTATTTATTTTTAGTTTGATCGTTTAAAATTTTTTTTGGTTTATTACATATCTGAAAACAATAAAAAAAACTTGCAAAATGTTTTGGAATTAGTCTCAGGAAACTTTTTGTTTAAATAATTTTACCCACAAAAAAGCAAAATACAATACCTTTTATTTTCAAAAATAAAATCAAAGTGAAAAAATTTTTATAAACAAAATATTTAAACAAAAAGATTCATCAGGTTCACTCTAGAACTTTTTGTAAACTAGTATTAATCAAAAAGAAAATCTATTTGAGCCAGTACTGGCTCAATATCGGCTCAGTACTGGTTTGTCAGTACTGGCAGGGTGGTGCTGCACCAGTACTGATACAATGAAAATACCAGTACTGGTTCAGTACAGACTGACCAGCCTCGGCAGCCAATACTGAACCAGTACTGCGTCAGTAGTTAACTCTGGTATAATACTGAAATTTTTGGTTGGGTTGTGCTATTTTGACAAATGTACTAGTTTCGATCAATTGAAAATGATTTCAATAAATAAAAAAAAGGTGAAAAATGTTTATAATATTCAAAACGGGTAATAATTTTTATATTTGTACTTTTTACTTACATTGATGTTTCAATTTTTTTTGCAACAGTAAATATAAATTTAAAAAATTATTTTGATGTACGTTATGTTCAACTTGCAAACTCCTTGTGAAATCAATTCTCTTAAGTTCTTTTTTAATGCTCGTGACATTTACATGTAATTTACAAAGTGGATGCATGTAAATAATTTAGGGCCAGTTGATCAACCTTCCGATAAGTGAAAAAAAAATTTTTCATTATCATGCAAAATAATCTAAAAATTGTACAATTTAAAAAAATTATTTAATTCTCTAAAGTTTTTTTTTCAATGTTTGAGACATTTACATGTAATTTACAAAGTGGATGTAAATAATTCAAGGCCAGTTGATCAACCTTCAGATAAGTGAAAAAAAAATTTTTCATTATCATGCAAAATAATCTAAAAATTGTATATACAATTTAAAAAATTATTTAATTCTCTAAAGTTTTTTTTTCAATACTTGTGACATTTACATGTAATTTACAAAGTGGATGTAAATAATTCAAGGCCAGTTGATCTACTTTCCTATAAGTGAAAAATAAATTTAATACTCTCAATAAATTTATTGTTACTTAAAACAGAAATAATTTACTTGTCGCAAGATAGCCTGTATAGTAGCACAAATGAAATCACGCACTTTTTCAAGATTTTTTACCCCTACCCTACCCCCCTGTCATGCTATTTTACCATGTTTTCTTATAGAAAAAATACATTGTGTCACATTTAGCAAAAAACATATAATTTTGGTGCTTCGTCATGAATTTTCAAAAAAAAAATATTTTTTTTTTTTAACAAAAACATTATCACAATTAATATATTTTAACTCAAGTATCAACTTTGTAATTTCTTCTTGAGAATGCGTTTATGACACTTTCACAAACCACAGTAATAAAACTAGTACTTTTAATAACATGCGAGTTTCAAATTACTTTAAAGTAGATACATATATTAATTATTTAGTTAATTTTGTAATAATTCTAAACATTGTGTTCCAATTTAAGATTTTTAATTTCTTATTATATTTCTATAAAACATTATACATTTATTATTCATTATATTAAAATCCAATTAGGCATCCGTAGAAATTGATACATTCACCATATTATTAATTTTTTTTATTTTCCAAAAATTATTATACTTTCAAACATTTTGAATTTTACTTTCAAATTTGTGACTGGCTACTATCCTTGACTTTTTTTTCTCTCTAAAAAATTTTCTTAAAGTAATCATTATAAAATAAATAAAAAAATTATTTTGAAGAAATTTTTTATTATAAATAAATATATCAAACATTATAAAATTCTTTATATTCTTTAACTAAAAATATTTTTAATACTTAATTTTTTTTTCCTTTATTATTATTAATAATCAATTGTACTAATTGTTAGTACAGCTGTGTTTTTTTCAATCAAGTTTTTATAATAAATGATGTAAATATTATAGTAAAAATATGAATTTTTTTTCGCCATTTCATAATTGAAGACTGATAAAGAGTATCGAAATTCAGTGTGAAATTTAAAACTTCCTTAAATGTATGTCACAAATCCGGTTGACTGATCGTAAGAGGAGAAGAGTTCACCTGCCAGTAAAATTCATGTTGACCTCACAAACAGACGTGGATTCCATCCACCACAAGAATGCAAAATATTTTATTTTCCATCATTTTACTAACTAGGTACGTCATAATCGAATAACAAGCCAATTTAAAATACTCGTAAATTCACTGGCGACAAGATTTCATTCTCTATACTTTAGTGGAATTTGTATTATATCAGTATTTCTAATGTAAGTATTCTATATACTTACAGATTGTTTAGATCTAAAGAAAAATTATTTCTTCAAATAGTAATTAACATTTACTACTAATTAAGAATTACAAAAAATTCTTTTTAAGATAATAATAAAAAAAAAATATATTTTTTAATATATTTTTTTAGTTTAAAAATTAAGTAAACTAAATAAATTAACATATTAGATTAAAAATAAATAAATGATTATGATTATATTATAATTTAACTTTTTAATTATAATTTTTATTTTTAACAATAATTTAAAAAGTCGAATCCAATGACATTTCAATACTATAGTATATCTTATATTTTTTATGTCTTATAAATTTTGCATTGTCTTAACGTTTCATTAATTAATATAAAATTACAATAAAATAATAAAATCAAATTAGAATAATTTCTTCGACATAATTATAATTCCAATTCCGTTATTATATAGTTAGTAAATTGAAGTTGAGTTGAAATTCACTAAACTGTAAAAAAAAAATATATGACAATGGAAAATACCCGGAAGTGACATAGTCGTTAATAAAAATTCAAAATTACAGGTGTGTCTGGTATTCTTCATGCCGTTAGATATTCAGGTCTAATTAATTCAAATTTAAAACTTTCTTCTTTATATACAAAAACATGGTAATGAACTATACTCTTCTATCGACTGTTACTTCATTACCGACACTGTAGATTTCTTTTTTTAAAACTTCTTCCTTTTCAAGTTATCACAAATGGTAAATATTTATATATACTCAAAATTTTATTTTTTATCAACTATTATATCATTTTACAAAATAATGAAAAATTAAATTTTAACTTTGTTTATAATTATAATGAAATATAAATCAAAATTTGTTAATTAAATTAAAGAATATACAATTTTTTGTTTTACGAGAAATTTTTTTTAATAAAATTATATAATAAAATGATAAGATAATAGAATTGTCCTGATAATATTTTCATCAACTACAAAATTATGATGCTTAATATTTTTAACTAAATGTTATATCTTCTATACCAGACTCGTCGATATATTTGGTAATTTTTGTTTCTGAACGCTTTTTTTACACGCACTACAAAATAAGATAATTATATATATATATATATATATATAAATAAATAACTAGAGGAGTATTTTGGTGTCAAATATTTGTTCAATAAATAGAAATTAAGACTAAAGATAATAAATTATTAGATTATTGTAAAATTTAAAACTTAATAGATTTTATATATATATATATTAAACCCTTTTATAATATATAAAATATTTCATAATTTTTAGTACCTATTCTTTATAATTTAAAAAATTCACTATTTGCAATTATATTTTGTCAATATTTCTTGTACTTATGTTTTTGTGTTTAAAAATTTCATTTCGTTTAACTATAATAATTAAATTAAAAATTTACAAACAATATATATTATATTTTAAAGAACCTCTTACCGGTCATGAATAAAATGAAATAAATAGATAATGATGATATGTATACTATTAAATAAAATTAAATTAGAAGACTACAATTGTTAAGGTAATTAATTCCGTGAAACGACTTTGTTTATATGACTTTTAACAAATTATAATAAAAGATTACACATTATGGTAAATTAAGTTTATTATTATGTATATAATTAAATTCACCATGTGTAATTTTTCATATTTACAAATTGAACAAAAGTCGTGTAGTTTTACCTATTCAATATAATGAAGTTTATATTATCATTAAATATAACTAATTTTATATTTCACTAGACATTAATTTATATTTTCGATTGCGCATTAATGAAATAAATATATATTAATTGAAAAAATGTTCATTAGCACTCCGTTAATTAATCACCGACGTTGTCTATATCCCTGATAATATCCCGAATAAGGATTGGAGTATCCAGCATGGTATCCAGAGTAAATATGACTTTGAACATCGTTTCTGTGCCAAGGTGATTCTTCATGGCCATATCCTGCCCAAATTTTTATAGAATTAGAATCAAAGTTTCCAATTTTAGTTAAAACACTATTATCATTCTTTGACCCGGTTTTTGTTAATTGTTATTAATTTTTTTTTTTTTTTTTGTTAATTAGTGATTTTTCACATTTTTGTGTATTTATAAAAAAAAATGCCCAAGGAAATATCTCACATTTAGGCAATACACAAAAAAAGCGCACATTCTTCTTAATTTGTTCCCCAGTGTGTTGTTAAATTATGAGAATTCTTCTGTTGTTGTTGTTGTTATTATTGTTATTATATTATTATTTTGATTGGTGATTTATTATTTTTTTTTTTTGCTTATAGAGAAATGAAAAAGCATTTTTTCTGAAAAATCATTATCTATGTTTGTAAGGAAAGTAGAAACCTGTTGGATAATCGACAGGAGCTTCGGCAGCCGTGGCCCAGGCCTGATGAACAGGATAATGAGGAACTTTACAGATTTTTAGATGAGAAAGTATTGAGGGAAGCAACAAAGAGCCGATTACAAGAATCTTCTTGATGAAATGAACCCCCAAAAAAACTGGTAGTAAAAGTAGCTTCAATTTGATGAGATTCAAAAGAATTAAAATTGGCAGAATAATGTGTTTTTTCTTCTTGTGAAATATTCGCTCCTCTCCTGTAATTTGACAAAAATAATCAATGTTCATAATTATTATAATAAATAGTAACTAAAATAAATTTTTTTATAATTAAATTCTTTTCTGAAAATATTCCATTATAATTAAATTATTTTTTGTTTAAAGTTTAATTATAATAGATTGGAAAAAGGCAAAAATATTAATTTAAATAACAAAAATTTGAAAATTTTTTCTTTTTACCTTTATTTGATAAAGTCATTTTTTTAAATTCATCATCATCGAGAACAATGGGACCAGAAGTGAGGCTTCTTGCTCCTGGAGAATATTCAATTGTATACACGAGAGCACGTTTGGTTAACATATCCTCGGCGGCGTCTCGAACAAAACTTAAAGTATCTACTAAACCATTTCTAGTGTCATTGATTCGTGGTAATCGAGGAAAAATTGTTTCCCCATCTAATGATGGTACCTTAACAATTCTAAAGGGTCCGTAATTAAATTCCTGAAAAAAATTATTTCAATTATTTATCTCATAATTGGAAATTTAAAAAAAAATTCATTCATTCAATTTATTTTTTATTATATTGATCATAAAATTTAATTATTGAATTTAATAATAATTACTTTCTTGCAAAGTACCTAGTTAATTAATTAATTATGAATTATTTATTATTTACTTAAGTCATTAGGTCACTAGTTTTTAATAATTTTTTTTATTTAATATAAACTAGATTGTAGAAAAGATTTTTCTTAGCTTTAAAATAAGAATTAATATAAATTAATTATTTTCAAGCATAGAGGGAGTTTGGATTTAAGGAGTGAAATAAAAATTTGCAATCGAAGTTAATATTCCCTTTAATCAAATTAACAATTAATTAAATAGGTTGAATATTGTTATTTACGATTCTATTTCATTGTTAGATAAAACAAAATTGAATGTTCGAAACATCAGTTTTGAAAATTTTTACTGAAATTTATAACGATAATCTATACATATTATTTGGTGTAATTTTTCTCGAATAAGTGAAAAATTTAAGAATAATTTTGCCTTTATTTCAAGAAAGAGTGTTTTCTTGTTTTTAATAAATTGTTCTCAGAAAGAAATTTTTTATTTAATTTAATTTACATAATTCAAATTAATTAATTGAAATAATTAAATTATATAATTAAATTAAATAACTAATTTTAATTAAGTAAATTAATTTTGTATTCAAAAATACAGAATTTTTTAATTCAATGATTATTTTTAAAATATAAAATTTGTCGTTTACTGTTTGAACGCACTTGATAAGAGAACTTGCGCAAAAACGTACAAAACTGTAGTAGCTCAGTAGGTAACTTATTTACAACCTGTTCTTTTTTTTTTCTTTTCTGAATTAAAACAAAAACGAAACGCACCTTCTCTTTCACATCCTGTAACCATCTGACAACTCGATATCGACCGCACACAACCGCATCTTTTTGATTCACACAATCTCTTCGGCACTTTTCCACAAAAACATTTGACGAGTTACCGGAAAATGTCAAACACCAATTTTCCGAAATAAGCAATATGAAAATTGTACACTTCAATATTCTATTAATCCAAATTGATAGTGGCCTCATATTTCCTCGTGAACAATTCATTCCAAATTTGCAGCACTTGATCGACATTTCTTTTTTTTTTTCCCTCCAAATTTCTCTTCAGTTGAATTCACGCATCATTTTTTCTCAATTTCATTTTTTCAACGAAATTTCATTTCAAAACGAAAAAAAAAACATCACTTTTTCTACTGAAATGTTCTGAAATTTACATCACTTAAAAACTGAAATGTCAGTTAATTGGTTTTCTTTTTAAAGGGAATCTAAAAATACCTTTAAAGTTTTGTTTTACACATTTAAATATTTTTAAAAAATCATTTAAATATTTAAAAAGAGCTTAAATTTTTTGGAAAAAAATCTAAATTGTCAAAATATTTGGAAAATTTTATTGTTATTTTTGAAAAAAACCGCGTGGTCAATAGAATAATTTTCTCGAGTATATAAATACGACACGTGAATGCTTTAGTGGACTGACGTTGGGTTAGGAGGTGTCTAGGCCATTTATACGAGAAGCATATAGGTCGGTGGGGGTAACGGTGTACATATAGATTCATCTTCTATATATCCACATTGGATAAAGTAAATGCAGCTTCAAAGTCTGTTGCAAACTCTATATTTCGCTAAGACGACCACAGGAATGCGATTTATTGGGTTATCATTATGCAAGTTCGTTCAAAGATTCGATTTTAGAAATCAACAATTTATCGCGACAGAATCTTGTCATAGCTTGTTTGAAAAATATCGTGCATCCAACCATCACGATAAGAGAGATGAAATATCATCATCAGTAAATGATCTTAATTTTTGCTTCATTTTTTTTTTTTTTTTTTTATTTCTTTTTAATCACAAATCATGATTTTCATTAGATACGCATGTCATTATATTTAGAAATTTATATCCATCTAATATTTGGAAAAAAAGAAAAAATTTATATTCGATACAGGGTAAATTATCTGAATGTTAAAAAAAAAAAAATTATTAGACATACTATACACAAAGAAAAAATAAAGATTTTTCGAAATTTATTTGTGAAACAAAAATATTTTTAAAAAAACAATTCAAATAAATTATATTTTGTACGAATAAAAATTTTCTCTTTGATGTATAATATTGTTCATTAGCGTCAATGATTCGAGATTGGAAAGAAAATTAACAGTATTTATATACGAAAGTTGGGAAAAGTCCCTATGAATCAAATAAAGAAAAGTTCCAATAAAAGGTCAAAGTCAACATAGGTATAAATCTTGAATCGACTCACTATGGTCGTAACACTAACACAAAAAGGGGTAATATTTTTTTTGTTCATCATCAATTGTAAGAGGGGAATATATTAATAAACATAAGTTTATTATTAGCGGTATTTATAATTTGTCGTTGACATACGATAAACTAAGTGATGTTAAAAAATCCATATACGCGAAAGAAACATCAGGAATCATTAAATTCTATTTGAGAGTATAACTTTTAACGCGGAAGTCCTTCGCTTTGTATAACCCTCACCTTTGGCACACACACGCGAATTGAGGCTACATACTTGCTTCCAGTTGAAAACAGATTCGATCTTTAGATTATTTGTGCGGGACAACGACTATAAACGTGGGCGAAGAAAAGCATGCATTTCTCATTCATTTATACTTTTAGAAACACAATTTATACGTCGCTAAATGAAAAGTGTTTTTTGACTATAGCAAATAAACCAGTTTTCACTGATAACAAAATTGTCCAAGCAATATATATTTAATGCTCATAAAAGAATAATTTCGAGGGCATAAAATACGTTGATAAAATGAATATTTGTCAGGGGAACATTGATGAAATAAATTGACTCAGAGTACATTTTTTGATGAATGAAAAATAAAAAATCACGAAATAATAAAAGAATATAAAAGTGAATTTACTTTTAAATATATTTTATATGAGGCATTTTACGTGTAATGTCCTAAGTCAAAAAATTGATTTCTCGATAAAAAGTGTAACTTGGAGAAGTTGTTGTCCTACCTGATAGTAAAATATCCCCAAAAAAATTTTTGACTTTTTTGAAATTTTTGAGGTGATAGAGGGGGGTCAATTTTATCAGTTTTCTCTGTCCTCTGGCGGGGGTGTAATTTTAGAATTTTACCCTTTCCAAGATGTGACGTTCCAATCGCTCAACTCTTTCTCCCACCTAGGTTCACAACGTCCGTGCCTCAGATATACACTCAAATGGTTTTTTTTCGTAACCTTAAGAAAATTGTTGTTTCAGTGTAATTTTCATTTTATTATAATTATTAATATTATTCATATAATTAGTCAAATACGGTGTCAGTTTGTACTTTTATATATGAATTTTCCATTTTCACATAGAAAAAGAACAATTTTTATTTTCTATTAAAAAAAGGCTGTGGCAAATTTGTCAATAATTACGTACATTTTTCATGTTTGTTTACATTTGACGAGTTGCACCTAGCCTTAACACTGGCGCGCGCCGACATAGAATCTTTGACATTTAATATCTGGAAAAACAAAAAAAATCGGCATTCTGAAAATTTATATACAGATCGGAAAAAACCTCAGCTTTCGTATGCAATTATTTATTTTTTAAAAAAAGGAACCGATTTTAGTGAAAATAGCAAATTTATGTTTAGTTCTAGAAAGTTAAGGTCAAAATTAAAAATTTTTAAAAACGAAATTCACCTTTGGAAAGAGCATGAAAAAACCTTCAAAAAACATACCTGCCAAAATTTTTTTTATTGCATTTATAGACAGAAAAAATTCAAATAGTAAGCGGTGTCAGGGAAAACTGATAAAATTGACCCCCCCGCTCTATCTCCCCCAAAATTTCAAAAAAGTAAAAAAAATTTTTTGGGGATATTTTACTATCAGGTAGGACAACAATTTCCCCAAGTTTCACTCTTTTTCGAGAAATCAATTTTTTTAACTTAGGACATTACACGTAAAATGCCTCATATGTATATAACAATAAAACGTATAAATTTATCGATTAAATAAATTACCAATAATAAAAAATAATTTATTATACTTTTTAATTTTTGATAAATTGAAAATCAACAAATTGAGTGATTGCGGAATAATAAAATACAACATTGTGCGCTAAATAAATATACTACTCCGATATTATATCGATCAGTATTGACGGCGCAGTTCCTGTTTAATAAGCGCTTATATTAAATAATCCAATGTGAAAGTCGAGAATTTTCTTTTATTCTCTCACACACAAATAACGTAATAAATGATTAATTAATGTCCGTTCTTTTTTTGTAAAACTTAAAAATTCTCAATTCTATGCGCTATTGTATTTTCAGTGGATTGCAATTTATTAAAAAAAAAAAAAAAATTCACATAATGTTCCAATTAAATGTGGAGTTTAAAGAAAAAACCTATTACTGAATACTTGCTTATAACAATAATGATAATTAATTGCACTTGAAACTAAATTTAAAAACATTAATTAAATGGAGTATCAAGTTTCTAAAATTGCGATCTACATATAGAGAAGTGAAATATTTAAATATTCAAATATGGTTCATTCGCTTACAGTCGCGGCCAAAAGTCAATGATTTCAATTTGCTGAAAATATTGATAAAAAATAAGAAGAAGCAAATAATTTTAATTGTTTTTTTTATCGTCATTTTTGTAGAAATTGGAGGGAGGAAAGATTATTTGTATTTTTTATCTTTCTTATTCTTCTCTTTCACCTCAGCTACATTTTTCTTTCTTCTTTCCCTCCTCTTTTTGTCCAATATTTCCGTTTTTCTCTCCTATTTTTTTCTTTTTTTCCTCCTTTTCTCTCTTCTTTTTTTCTTTTTCTCATCTTCTCTTCTTCTTTTTTTTTCTTCTTCTTCTTTTCTTCCTTTTCTTTTTCTCTCTTCTTGTATATCTCTTTTGCTAATTATTTGGAAATTTCGACAAATTTGTTTCATATATAACTTATAGCATAAAAATTCAGTTTTTCAACACAACTGAATTAAAATTATTGTTTGTAATGAACAAACACATTGCACTTAAGAAAAATTTATTACTTAAAGTCGTTTTATTTGTACACTCGTAGCCATGCCTACACATTTTTGTCCTTTTCTAACGCATGTGTTGCCATGACAATATGTAAATTAGAAAAAGACAAAAATCTGTAGGCATATACGGCCAAGAAAGTAAACAAACAAAAACTTTTAGGTTAGGAATGGTTAAATCTCATTTAAACAACCCGTGCAGAAATTTTGAAAGAGCCCTGGCAAGGCCCACGTCGGGAAGCTCCAAAATCGCATAAAACAGGGAACCCGATCGGGGCCACAGAAAAAGTCCTATTTCAGCCCGATTAAAATCGATGAAAACCGGGGCCCGACCAGTGCCTGGTTTGGCCTCGGTCGGGTTCCCAGTTTCAACCAGGTCAGGACCAGGTTGGCGAATTTCTGCACGGGAAGTTCTTAATCTAAAACTTTTCTTTTTGTCTTTTCCTTCTTCTTCTTGTATCTCATCCGATAATTATTTTAAATTTCTGGAAATACAAAACGCTAAAAAATTTTGAAAACAAAAATTAAAATATTCCATAAAAAGTATACTTTATGTAAAAGTAATAAATTTTCAAAATTATGGTATTAACTTTCTTCGAGGACTGTCTGTCATATACGGATGAACTAACCGAAAGCAGGTGACTGATTTTACAACCAAAAGAACAAATTTTTATTTGCGTTTAAACATGCGAAAGTATCATAAAGCAGAGAATTGCGATTAATAAATGAAGCACGTCTCGTTTAAATTGTTAATTATCACTCACTTATTAGCCACACCGCTCACCATATGTCAATTTTAAGAATCTCTTGCATACATAAAAATATATGCAGCAAAAAAAAAAAAAAAAAAAATGTATCTTATCAAAGAGTTTAACGAATAATAATTAACCTACATCCACCTTTCACACATCAAAATTTTCTATGTATATATATGTATATTTTTTTAGCGATACTCAAGAGAAATTAGAATAATTTCAATTTCGTAAACAAAATATGTGAAACAAGTTGAAGATTAGATACAAACGCGCAGTTGATTCCCCTTAGAATTTGACTAACATATTGTATTCATCAGAAAAGAAGATTGACACTTGATGAATACTCAGAATGAAGTTGTGTATTTACCTGATGCAAATCTCAACCGCAAAAATGTATAACAGAAAGAAATTTTCTGATCTGTTATTCATCTCTCGTGCGTCTATACATGATCTTTGTCACAGTAAATTATTCTCTGGCCCATATGAAAACAAAACGAATATAATTAACCTTTTACAAAATGTAGGATAAGGTCTAATTTACATTACATTTTTTTTAAAAATAACGATATTTGAGCAGTTTTAAACTCGAACGAAAGTTACATTCTGTTTATATCTAGAGGGTATATAAATGTGTAACACACATTGTAAAGAAAGAAGGAAAAATAGAAATCTTTAAACATTACAACTGTCTATCTGCATATGGAATTAATAAAAGATTTTATCAGAATAGCA